CTTTTTTATTTTTTGTTGTTTTTTTCGGTTTTTTTTTGTGTTTTTTTTTTTTTTTTGTTTTTTGAGAGGAGATTGCATCTACACGATGCTGTCGTGTGCTCCAGCCGCCGGCGCGCGTTACACTGCTAGCACTGATCTACACGATGCTGTCGTGTGCTCCAGCCGCGGGCGGCGTTACACTGCTAGCACTGATCTACACGATGCGCGTGTGCCAGCGCGCGGCGCGTTACACTGCTAGCACTGATCTACACGATGCTGTCGTTGCTCCACGCCGCGGCGGCGTTACATGCTAGCACTGATCTACACGATGCTGTCGTGTGCTCCAGCCGCGGGCGGCGTTACACTGCTAGCACTGATCTACACGATGCTGTCGTGTGCTCCAGCCGCGGGCGGCGTTACACTGCTAGCACTGATCTACACGATGCTGTCGTGTGCTCAGCCGCGGGCGGCGTTACACTGCTAGCACTGATCTACAAGATGCTGTCGTGTGCTCCAGCCGCGGGCGGCGTTACACTGCTAGCACTGATCGTGTTGCAGATTTGAAGCCCTGTCTACCGCAAGAGATGGAAGTGTTTCCACATCGCATGAAAGAGTGGCTGTTTAACGTGATGAATAGAGGGTGAGGTGTTATGATCGTCGAATCCTAAGCCGTGTCTGCACGACGTTTCCTTAATCCGCGCTTACAGAAACGTCTCGCGGTTAGCTATAACGCGGATAAGAAATGCGTAGCGTCTACACGAGCACCACCTTCTCCACGCTTGAGTGGTTCCGGCACGCAAGACGTTCCTATTGTTCTATTGTCTATAGCGGACTATTGTTCACTATTGCCGCCTATCGCAGGGTTAAGGAACTAGCAAATAGAGATAGAGTCGTCCGTCCGTGCGTCAACAGTTGGGCACAAATCTAAACCGCTCGACGTACAGTAACGATATTCGGGACGTGAGGGGGTAATTCGAAAACGAGTTGGGATGTCGAAGCTGGGGGTCAAAGGTCAAAGGTCAAGAGGTGTAAAAGAAGGGGAACATTCCCTCCATAACTTAAGGTATAGGGAGGAAATGCAGAATTGCGGCACAAATCTAATACCCCAGTCACACCAGGGCCCCGATCTCACTACACTCGTACTACGCTCTAAGAGCGTGGTGGAAACGTCTAGAACGCAGTGTGGACGTATATGGACGTACTGCGAACGTGATCGAGCGCGGTGCAGTCAGCATGAGCGTGGAGAGCGTGGCCAAACTTTGAACATGTTCAAAATAATCGTGGTGCGAGCGTGGCGGAAATACAGCGCAGTGCGGGCGTATTAGAGACGTGGAAGGCGTAGTACCCACGTAGTTTGAGCGTAGTACGAACTTAATGGTCGTATCGCAAGCGTGTCGGGTGCGTGAAAATTGTCGCCCCATTCTCAGCACGATGTCAATACGTTTTTATCACGCTGTTACTACGTCCATGGAGATGTCTCTGCCACCTGACCACGCTCTCGCTATGACCATGGTGCGTCTCTAACAAGCTCGACCCGTTCGTACTACGATTGTACTACGCCCAACATGCTCAGACTACGCCGTTGTGGCGTTCGCATTACGTGTTAGTTACGCTCAGATCACGTCCTGCAAACTTGGGGTTTAATTTGGGGTGCTACCCTGGCCACCCCACCAGTTCAGTGTCCACTATGGATGAGGCAACACTACTCCATGCCATGTTTCGTTGAAGAACGCCATTTTCCTCGTAGAAGGACAACTCGAACTACTTGATTGGTAAGCCCTCATCATGCTGAGGAGGACGAGGAGGAGAAATAGAAGACAACAAAGATCTTGCTGGCTCTCCCCTTGTCTTTTGGCGGCATAGTTGTGTCCGTAGAAAATAATCTTGATGTTAATCTTGATTTAAGTTGATAATGTTGATCTTAATTATCTTGATGTTAATCTTGACAGCACGGCAGAATGAATGATGATGTATAGAACGCGGCGCGATATTTATATGATCGTTGCCAGCGCAGTCGGCGCGTGATTGGCGCGCAGTTGAGGCGCGGTGAGCGTTGCTAAGGCGCAGTGCAAACGTCGTTCGAACGGAACACGATCTGATTGGTCGCAATAAAGACGCAGTCTGCGCAGTGCAAGCGTGATGCGGGCGTGGTGAAAGTTTGTTGAGCGCAATGAGATCGGGGTAAAGACGCACTTAGATCGTAGTATGGACGTAATTAGATCGTAGTATCGGCGCTGGGGCCGGCTGGGGCCCAATTGGCCACGCTCTCAACCACGCTCACCACGCTCGGGCAAATTTTTTGAGGACGGGGCGATCGTGATGAGCGTAGCTCTGGTGTGATTGGGCCTTAAACGGCTCGACCTAGGCTCGTGATAGTCGGTGTATAGCATCATAGTAGGAAAAGCCATTACTGTGCCGAAATTGGAGGTCACAGGTCAACAGGGCACAGGGCAGATTTTAGACATTTTTTGAGGACATGGTCTGACGGAGCGATTGAAAAACTTTTTTGTTTCAGCGATGACCTAGCATTTTTATGGCTTTATTGAAAGGACCATTAAATCTACTTTCCGCTGACATGCGACGAGTAAGTGTCGGATAACCTTTTGACCCTCAAGAGGAGGGTTAAACATTTATTTGTTTCTCAACTGCGTTGGCGAGTACCTGTGGTTGTGGAAAGCTCCCATTTTACAGTGAAATTCCACACATAACTCTTACTTGAACAACGCTTACTTAGGAGATAATGAGATGACTTATATATGAGATTCTGTAGTGTACATTATGAATAGTTGGAATACAGTCACTAGCACTCAAATAATTACCCAGGAGTGAGGCTTGAGCTTATTCGGTCCACTAATCACTGGCCTACCTTGTACTGAAATTAGTTTACAGATATTTGCTATCGTATTGCTGTAAATTGTAATCTTGCACGAGCTGCTCTGGTTATATCAACCATTGAGCTATTTTGTAACGAGCCAGATGTGCCTCGCAAGGGGTTTAATGTACCTTATTACCTGACACCATAGAACGCACGTTATGTATAGTAATAATATGGTAATTATTCGCTCCTGCTTTTTGCAATCTGTCGTCACACTGACAGCTGCCATTGAGATTTGAAGCCCTGTCTACCGCAAGAGATGGAAGTGTTTCCACATCGCATGAAAGAGTGGCTGTTTAACGTGATGAAGACGAGGGTGAGGTGTTATGATCGTCGATCTTAAGCCGTGTCTGCACGACGTTTCCTTAACCCGGCTTAAGAACAGTCTCGGGTTAGCTTAACCTGGGATAAGAAATGCGTAGCGTCTACACGAGCACCACCTTCTCCACGCTTGAGTGGTTCCGGCACGCAAGACGTTCCTATTGTTCTATTGTCTATAGTGGACTATTGTTCACTATTGCCGCCTATCGCAGGGTTAAGGAACTATGCGCTATCCCGGGTTAGCAGCGTCTACACGACGCTTAACCCGAGACAGCTCTTAACCCGGGTTAGTTAACCCTCCTCACATCGCGGGGTTACACTAACCCGGGTTAAGCCCTCGTGTAGACGCTTAACCCTGGTTAAGCCCCCGTGTAGACGCTTAACCCCGGGTTAAGCCCTCGTGTAGACGCTTAATCCGGATTAAAAATCCTCGTGTAGACGGGGCTTTAGAGTCTCGGTTAACGAGCATGCGCTTTAGTAACGATCAATCTATTAAGACATTCAATGTCTTATAATGTTATCGGGAGCATAAAATTTATAAAGCATCATATACTGTGAAGAGTATAACTATAAGTAATAAAAGTATAAATAGTAGTAGCAATAATATTATTATAATAATAAAAAATAAGTAAATAAAGTATAAGTGTGTAAGTAAAAGTATCGTGAAGTGCACGAGAAAGAAAAACAAACCCTAGCCACAAGGAATTGTTGCATTTACGGTAAAATAATTGATGAAATAAGTTAAAAAATTAATAAAAAATCAATGTTATCAAATAATTGATCAAATAAGTGAAGATATTTGACGCCGCGTACAGAACGAGAGAAACGACCTTGGGGAGGAATACATTCCGCTGGAGAAGGAAGCCGAGAGGAAGTCTGAGATGAAACTTGTCAATCCTGTCATCTGGAAATTCTGCGACCTGGACAAATCTTCTGACAGGTTTGGTTTATTCCGTTATCCGTTCTTAATCCGTTATCCATTCTGCATTCGTTTCATTCTGTCTCTGTTCTGCGATCAGCCATCTGTCTCATGTTTCCCGATTGGGTGGAGGGGGGCACAGACACTTCACGCACATTGTAGAAATTGAGAACGTTACTGAGGTTATGTGTGGGAAGAGAAGCATGTCGGGTCAGTAGTAGTGCCCTTGAGCTGGCTACATTTTTTTTCGGATTGTGCGTTTTGGAGCGATGATTTCGCGGTAAATCCTTTAACGCGACGCCGTTGCAGGGTGCGAAATTAATGGGAGTCTGAAGTCAAATACTCCCCGACTTGTGCAGGAGTCCGTGTGACTCCCTGAAAATTCATCTACACTAACTAGTTTGTTCCAGAGCCTCGCGGAATTACCGTATTTTTTCAGCAAATGTCCAAAGAAAATTTGGCAGATGTGCAACCGCATGAATCCTCAAAATAAGCACATGCGTTACTGTTAATATCTTTAATTTTGAACTTCAGACAGCGGACTTCCTCATTTTGCTGTGGACTCCCGTGTTCAAAAGTTAATTTCTACCCCTGCCTTTGCGTTGCTCTTCTGCATTTGACTGCAGCGGTGGCTCAATGGTAGAGTGCTCGCCTCGCATGTGGAAGGTCGAGGCGTTCAACTCCTGGCCAGGTCATACCAAAGACTTGAAAAATGGTACACACGGCTTCTCTGCTTAGCATTCAGCAAATAGAGATAGAGTGTGGCAAGTTAACTCGCAGTGCTACCAGTGGACTAACCCCCTACTGTAGGCTGTAGCATTTTACTGTGAAAGCAGCTGCGGGACCTCAGGGTTACTGAAAAGGAGCTAGGCACCGCCCTATGCGCCATATAGGCGCGGGAAGGATTTTTAGCTCACCTTGACATCGTCAAGCTGAGCTATTACCATGGGTCGTCGTACATCCGTCCGTCCGTCCGTCAACATTTGTCAACGATAACTCAGGAACCGTTTGACCCACATGTTTGAAATTGGGTATAGTTGTTACTGCTATGCCTCCATATTAAACCGTCCTATTTTAGAGCACGCCAGTCGACGTACTTTCGAGCCACGGCAATTTTTTGCCAAAAATGGGAATTGCCATTAGTCAGTTCAGGTTCAACGGATTTTGCTCATTTTTGGTATGTGAATGAATAAGGGCTAGGGTTTTGATATTTAAAAAAAATTATGGAAATTAGGTAGGGTTTGGCAATTATATAGCATAATATATAGACACGCAGATAACAAACAGTCTGGTGGGTCACACTCGTCTGGTTTGTTTTACAAGATTTATTGACAATATCTTTAATGCAAAATTTCTGCTATGAACATATTATGATTTATACTATTATTATTATATTATTATTTTATGATATAATGATTTATGCTAAGAAACATCAAAGCGGTATAGCGCCATCTACTGTCACAAATTGTGATTCATTTTTAGCTCATCTGACATAGTCGGATGCAGCTTGTAGAATCGCATGAGCGTGCGGTGTGTCCGCGTCCGTCCGTGCGTCAACAGTTGAGCACAAATCTAAACCGCTCGACGTACAGTCACGATATTCGGGACGTGAAGGGGTAATTCCGAAAACGAGTTGGGATGTCGAAGCTGGGGGCCGTCG